CTACCCCAATCACCAAGGCCAATTTCAGAAACAGGAAATTTTACATTTGAGAATCAGTGTAACAGTATCAGTAACAACATAGTGGCAATGCTATGTCCTTTGAAATAACTTCAGTGTTACCAGATTTTGTTATCAATGTACATGTCTCTAAATTAGAATATTTTAGCTACATCCACTTCGCAGGCTACTCATAAATGATATCTAGTATAGCTTTTTAACAACTGCACTCATAGGGGATAAGTTGAAATGGAGGGACTGGAAGGTAATATCAATGGTTATGTTTGGATGGTAGAACTCACTAAAGGAAGCATCTCTTATTTTCCAGGTTTTATTAAGTGAACATGTGTTACTTTTTAAGCGCAGCTCTGATGAGAGGCTTGTTCGTAACTAAGCAGTGGATCACTTAGAAGCAAAACAAGCTGTGCTCACTCCTTTTTATCCCGTTCCGACACTGGAAACCTCAAGTGTTACTTGGCATTTGGATGTTTCAAGGATGTGCTTGAGGGAACGATGAGAAAGCATGATTGGCTGAGAGTGTAAAAATGGCGCACACACACACACACCCCCATCTGAATGCACCAGGGGGAAGAAGAATCAGTTGACATCTGCCCACGGCCCATTCCTCTGAGGCAGAGGTCAGACAGGCCTCCACCCTCCCCTGTCTTTCCCACCTCTGACACCAGCCATCTCCACCCAGACGGACGCACTCTGCATCCTCTTTGGCTTGATGATTCATCGCAGGGCCATGCAGAACTAAAGGAGTATGCTCACAGTTGTGGAATTTGTTAGGGAAGTTAACAGCTTATCATTCAGGATCAGAAATGTTTAGGACACAGTTCTTCCCATCAGGAGCACCTCTTCTCAGTCCTGCCCAGAAGTATGCTTCTCAGTCTCTCAGCCACAGGACCACTTAACCTCTGCCCTCTCACTGCCCTGGAGCCGGTGCTGACTCACAGTTCCCCTAGAGGCCACAGAACAACCACCCCAATGGGTTTTCAAGGCTGTAATGTTACAGGATAGAAAGCCCCATCTTTCTCTAACATAACCTCTGCCCTAGCCAGGCAATATCATAGAGCTCTTTTAATGATACCAACAAGTGCTTAAAAGGGTACTCTACTGTGTCAGCCCAAAGGTTCAACTCCAGCTGCATGGGTTGACAAAGCTGGTTCTCCTGGGCAAAGGCAACCCACTCCATACTTGAGCCACTTGCCCAGAGGCACCCAGCTTCTCTCTCTCATGCTCTGGCTCTTAGTTCTTCTGTTGCTGTTCCTCTGCTGCTCCTCTGTCACTTCTATAGTGTCACAGCTGCCTCCTGGTCAAGCAGGATCATGCAGGACTCCCAGGGTCCCAAGTATGCAAGCTTCCACTCATCTCAGCTTCCGGGATGGCTCGTTTAAAACCCAGGAGGTGGCCAACTGACTGGTCTCCTTGTCAGCTTTCCATACGATTTAGGTGCATGGCCCCGCTCAGTCATTCGGTAGGTGCTATAAAGATTATCAGTGGAAGAGCCCTGTCGAGTAGTTCACTGCACCACAATACATCGCTAGATCCGGGTCAGCATTTTGTCCGTCTCTGGGTTAAATTCTGGACTGACTGGCAGTTCCTAGTACACTGGCAAAGGAAGGATGATTCCTGGAGGGAGGGGCTTGGGTATTCCTCAGTCCTTTGCCCATTTTATAGTTTAACCAGGCACTCAGAAGCATAAGGAGGCTCGGTCAGCAGGAATTAGGGAGGTGATGAGGAGCAGCAGAATCCTTTGTTAACAATGAGGCTCTAGAAAGCACTTGACAGGCTGGGGAAATAAGATGACCACTATAAGATGTAATGTCATAGCAGAAGAAAACCAATTGACTGGCAGCTGGGAGAGCTAACAGTCATGAAAAGAGATTTCATTTCAGCTGCAATGTAATGGTGGCTGCTTAAAAACAAAATGAGTTGCTTGTTGGCCTGTGCTGTGTGTCCCCAAGAAGCAGAGCCAGCCAACAGTGAAGATCCCAGCATTCAGAGCAAGGGACCAGCGTTGCCTCTCAGAGTTGGTCGAGTCAAGGTTGAGCAGGACTCCAAACAGAGTTGGGTGGGTGGAGTAGATGGCATCTGGAATCCAGTAATGTTGACATAGTATGGCTTAAGAGACTGATATTCCTAAAAATAGCTCCCTATGTGAAACAAGTACAGATTTGCTACACCACCTCATTAAATAGGCGTGGTCTGTACAAGTCCATGGACATTGTATGTAGACACTCTGTAAATAATAATAACGCACTGTTCATTTTTCTTAGAGGTAGAAAAAGCAAATACCTGATTGAATAAGGTAAATATAATAAGAGATATAAACAAAAACTGTTAACGGTAGAGAACCTAGATCAAGGCTATCATGAACCACTTTTATAGAGAAAATAACGTCATAGGCTACAAGTTGGACTGCTTAACACAAGGTCAGCAGTTCAAACCCACCAACAGCTCCACGAGAGAAAGATGAGACTCTGCTCCTACAGCCTCGGAAACCTACAGGGGTCATCCTGCTCCGTCCACGGGGTCACTGAGTAAGAATTGAATCGATTCAGTAAGTGTGGTTTGGCTAAAGGGTAAATAGAGTTTAGGTTGGTACAAGTGTGAAGTGGAGTGACAGGGCCAAGGAACAGCAGCAGCAGTACTGTGGGTGAGGTGCTAAAGCAGAAGGACCCGAAGTGGGGTGGGGGGCAGTGGGGAGGGCAGCATGGGGAGTGAGTGTGCAGTGGAGAGTGCCACATGCCCCTGGGTAAGAAGTCTCACATACTTTTTTCCTAATAGAATGCCCCACTCAGCTTTCAGGTCTCAGGTGTATTGTTTTGATTGCTGACTGTGAGAGCTATTAACAAAGGCTAAATTGGGAAATAAAACAATAGGGTGTCTACCGATTCCAAGGAGAAAGGAGCCCTTGGAGTTTTTTTGAGTGATTTACATTTGGTGAACTGAAGTTGGAAACAATGGCTATTGAATACCAACTGTTAGACGTCTGGGAGCCTTGGACACGCGGCACAGTGGGTTAGGCATGGGGTGCAGCAGTTCAAACCCACCAGCAGCTCCTCCGGAAGAAGAGGAAGCTGGCGGCTCCTGTGAAGATGTACAGCCTTTAAATCTTTAACAACTGCATAGGGCTGCTGCGAGTCAGGATGGACTCGGTGGTGGTGGGCTTGGTTTTTGTTATGTTGGTTTCCTGGGAAGTCTAGGGAGAAGGTAGTGCTTCCTTACATGGCAGGGCTGCAGTGAAGGCTCCCCCATGCTGAGTGGTAGATGTGTGTTTACCACAGTCCCAAACCCAAACCGGGGCCGCCAAGGCCATTCCAACTCATAGTGACCCAACTGAGAAGCTGCGAGCAGGCCACTTCATCTCCTCCCACAGAGTGAGTGACTAACGGGTTTGAACCACTGACCTTGGGTTAGTGACCAGGGCTTCACCTCTGCTGCAGTAGTAGCACCTCCTGGTTGTGGTTGGTCTATGGGAATTCCAGACACCATCATAAATGGTGTTAATGCTCCAGCCACATTGGCTCACATTACACAAGGAATCGTTACACTTGGAATCGGTAGACACTCTATTGATTACTGTTTTATTTCCTAATTTAGCCTGTGTAATAACTCTCACAGTCAGCAATCAAAACAAAACACCTGAGACCTGAAAGCCCTGAGTTGGGCATTTTATTAGGAAAAAAGTATTCGATGCAAGCTGTGGCGCAGGACCTTCAAATGTAATCAGCAACACAAGAAGTTAAATAGCAGAACAGGATAAACTGCCAGTGGATTGGGTGATTGAGCTACTCTGGAGTTGGCAGAAGTAGATTAGTCTTATACCCTTCATGGTGAGTTTCATTTGATGTAGAGTTCCTGAGAGCCTTTCTCCTAATTTCTACCATGATCCAAATCCCCTCTTGCTCCCAGAGGCTCTTGGGATGACGTGTTGTGACCACAGCAGGGATGCTGGCTGGGTGTATTTTCGGGCTCTTGTCTGGGACATCTGGGAGGTTACATACGTGCTCAGTTTGCATCTCCGGAAGATGGGACTAGGTTCGAGAGAAGCTGTGCAAAGCTGAAACAGTATAAGTGCCACTGAGGTCAGAGCGCCTGGGGTGTGCAGCTCACCGCCGACAGTACAGACTTCTGTGTGTGATATGACACGTGTAACTCTGGAAGAACGTGTTTTAAAGCGTAGAATAAAGCTGCCCACGCCGGGGACGTGATGACCAGCAATCTGGTTTCACCTCAACCCCTTGCATCGGCAGGCGTCACACCAAACACTGCCCAGGACCCTACAGGGGTCATGAAATACTCTAGATGGGTCAACGCCAAGGGCCTCTCAAGAGTGACAGAGGGGTTACTTGGGACACCCATATTATGGTGAAAGTACTATAGCTTCCAAGCTGTGCCACAGACATTACTGCATGATGCTGTTTTTAAAAATAAACTATCCGTAAAGAAATATTATTGCATAAAACAGCACATAATCCAGTTATTTTCACTTAGATCTTTTCTCGGGATGTTTTAAAGCCCCCTGGTGTTACAGTGGTTACAGGTTGAGCTGTGATCTGCAAGGTCAGCAGTTCGAAAGCATCAGCCACTCGGAGGGTGAAAGCCAGGCTTTCTACTCCCGTGAACCAGCAGTTCTCAACCTTCCTAATGCCACGATCCTTAAGTACAGGTCCTCATTGCTACTTCATCACTGTCATTTTGCTACTGTTATGAATCGGGTGGCCCCCGTGAAAGGGTCATTCAACCCCCAAAGGTGTCGCGACCCACAGGTTAAGATCTGCTGCCGTAAACAGTTAGTCTTGGAAAGTCTCAGAAGGGTCCCTGCGAGTCGACATCAGCTTGCTGTCCGTGAAGGGAGTAGAGCGTTGTTGTTGTCAGACTGTAAGGGTTAGTCCACTGTTCACTTTCTGCAGGCTGTCACTCAAGTCAGTATCAAGATCCCAGTGCCCTGTCTCCATGTGCAAAGAGGAAAGCTAGCCTTTGCCCTTAACAGCATGGAGGTGAGGTGTGGGGCAGACGAGAGTGGGAGCGGGAAAGCTGGGCATGCCAGGTAGAGAGGACTCTCCAGAAAGTTTGGACATCAAAGTTCGGAAAGAGGACAGGAGCTGGAAAGGGTGGGTGGCAGGCAGGTTCAAGGAGAGGCTGGGGGTTGTTTGTGGTTCAGTGTTTCTGTTGTGGAGAATATGCAGGGCAGAACACAGCCAGTGTGACCACTTCACATGCACCCAGTGGCTTTCTTCAGGTTGTGCAGCTGTCCCCGTCCTTCACCGTTAACAACACTCACCCTCCACCCGCTCCCATCCCATCTGTGGGCTTGCACTTGTCACTGTGATCTAGTATACAAGATTACTGAAGGAGCTTCAGGGGCAAAGTAGCTGTCTCAGTCAGCTAGCCTCTGGTTTGGTGTTAGGAAGATGGGAGGGGGTGTTCGAGGAGCTCTTGAGACAGTCCTTTCAGGGGTTCCTCCGCCCATGCTCGCAGTGTGTGCATGTGCATGTGTGTGAGAGTCTTCTTGAGTGGCCTGTGCTGCTGCGAGGGGCCCATAGAGCAAGAGAGGCTGGACACACAGGTGAGAAGAGAGCGTGATCGACAAGGCTTCCTTGTGGGAAATGCAGGGGGTGCGAAGGGGGTATACCCAAAGCGTCCCTGAGGGAATGGCTCACGAGGCTGGTCAGGTGCAGGAAAATGTGCCCGTAGGGGTTCCAGAGGGCCCTCTGAGGAGGCCGTGGCCACATAATGAAAGGACAAGGCCATCCCAGAAGGAAGGGACAGTGATGGGTAGAGATGAGCTCTGTGGAGAGTGGGAGCTCACACCCCAGAGGGAAGCCTGCTCAGGTCACCATGGTGGGCCAAGGGCCAGTCGATGTGCCCTGCTCCCCAGCCCCAGAATCCGGGAGACACAGGGTAGAACTCAGTTTTTCTCCGCCACTGAAGTCCACCAGCTGATAAGGGTTCGTAGTGCTCCTCAGAGATCTGGACCCCTGGAGGTCATCTGTTTCCCGAGGGGGCAGCATACCCCACTGATAGTGAAGTCACACTGTTGTATAGAAAGCCTGCCGGTACTGTTTCCAGGGTTCCCTGTAGGTTGTGAGGGAGCAGTTAGAGTGCACCTTGTCCTGGAAGATTACGGAGACAAGGGTTGGAAGAACCCATAGGACTTCAGTGGATCAGAAGGAAGCCTGGTGCTGGCTTGGGATGGTGACTTTAGAGGAGGTTGGGAGGACCAGCACCCAGGACTGACTGTACGGTGACAGCACTGCAGGCATCTCTGCTTGGGGGACGCCGATTAGCTGGCCAGGCCACTCTGAAGTGTGCCTTCCCTGAGAGACTGAAGTAGTGGCTTAAGGGAGAAGAGGTTTAGATGTGCACTCGGTGGCTAACACAGCCACCAAGTTAAGAAGACATGTAAACCCTCCCATCTATCTCTAGACGCTTCATGTGGTAACTACAAATTGTTTCCATTCCAGGGCTGTCTGGAGCTTAGACTCACAGCAGCCTTACAGGACAGAGCGGAGCTTCTGTGGGTTTCCAGGGCTGTCTGTCTGTACAGGAGTAAAAGCCTCCTCTTTGTCCCAGGGAGCATTTGGTAGTTAGCAGCCCCTCACTGACCTATTACACCCCCAGGGTTGCT